CCTGAATCCTAATAATTAGCTAGAACACGTGTTTCTACTTGAGGGCTGTTGTGCCTAAGAGATTGTTGTGGTTCTAATGTGCTCACCGCTGAGTAACAGAACAATTTCCATCAATGGCCTTGTAAGCACACAGAGTCTCCCCAGAGATCTGGCAACTTCTAGTCCTTTTCAATGAGAAAGTCTGCTTTATAACAATATTAAATTATTCAGGCAACAGTCTGTGGAAACTTCATAAAGAAGAAAACTAGAAAAATTTAGATCCTTTCTCACTCTGTCTGGATCCCATGAAACAATAGGCACCAAAGACATGCCTAAAATGCCCATAATAATGCTTCCATCTGTTACCCAGAAGTCCAAGAGATGGAAGATACCTTGACAGGGGAGTTACTTCTCATTTCCAGTGTTTCTAGCTTTTCATCACAGACCACTCTCATAAGGGCTGTTTAGGTGGATTATCATCAAACAAATGAGTAATGATATCTGAATGCTCAAGATGTACATGTATTAAGTAAAAGCTCGGTTCTATTTGAACCTGAGTGGGCTTGACTCCCTTCACTCCACTCATTTCATCTCTGATGAAGAAAACTGAGAAACCTTGTCCAAGTTCACCAGGGTCAAAAAATCGCTATTGTATTTATAGATTCAATCCACAGTGTGCTAGGGCAGGGGCTATGGAAGTGTAGGTGAGGCAGGGAGAAAGTGAACATATGGAGACAAGCTCATCTCAATTCCCAATGCCTAGACAAGCCCAGGATATCCCTTAATCCATTCAGTGAATATTTATTAAGTGCCTTCCATATGCCCAGTACCATATTCCCAGTGTTGGGAGTGCGTAAATGAACAAAACTCCCTGACCTCACATCCTGGAAATACTTGTGAGTTTAGTTCTAGGATTCAAAAAAGGGAAAACTCAGCAGTGTCTTCCCCTGTATTCAGCCAGAATCACATTTAAACCACCCACATTCAGGTAGGAATCTCTCCTAAGGCCATCAGAGAAAGAATATCAAACTTGTTTTAGTAACTCATGCTAGTGTTTCCTACTCTCACAAGACATTCTTTAGAGATAGAATACATCCCCCTTTTATTATATATTTTATTTTGTTTTCTCTTCAGGAGACCTGAAAGAAGTTAGTCATAATGTTCTGAGTAAGAACCAGTCACAGGCTAGACTAGAACACTCAGCCTTTCTTGTTTAACAAAATCTTAGTTTCAATAGCCTGTCCTCAAGATTTTTGTCTTTTAGGGCCAGCCATGTAGCTTAGTGGTTAAGGGAGCTGGATCTCACATGGCTGACTGTGGTTCGAGTCCTGGCCCAGGAGGCTTGAAAAAAAACACACTGCATTTGTGTGTACATGCCCAGAATTCCAAAAGGATGGAGAAATGGAGAAGAGATTGTAGCACAGTATTTCCCCACTAGGGGATGCTTCTCTCTCTACCTCCCTCTCTCTCTCTCTCTCTTGCACGAGCATAGCCTGTCAACAATTAAAAACAAAAACTAACTAACTGAATAAATAAATAAATATTTATGCCTTTTGATCTTTTCACCATCAGCTCTTTGATGAGCTTCCTAATTCCCCACACTTCCCAATGGCCATAAAGCCTAGTAGGTAGTAGGACCTTTTGGTGCCACTCTGCCCTTTCCAAGTCTCTTTCACTTACATTACTTCCTTTGAAACTCACAGTATAATCCTGTGATGTTGGCAAGGCCACGTTGACCTTTCCCACTGCCCAGAGAAGCCAAGTGAATGCCAGTAAGGCCAAATGACTTACCTAAGGTCATGCAGCTTGTGAGGAGGCAGAGGTGGCATTCCCAAACAGGTCTCCGGGCACTGGACTTTAGAGCTCTACCTGTCTAATGGGAGTCTCAACTACCAGTTGGGAAGGCTCAAGCATGTAAATGCTTGTGCAATACCTGAGACACTTGATGGCTGGTGGCCAGTGAACATTTAGGTCATATGCTTTCTTTCCCAGGTGTGTGCTGACCCTGTTCTCTAGTGCATGTGACACTTCCCCCACAACTACCACTAACAACATCCAGGTCCTAGCCTTCTAGGTCATCAAAGGCAATTTTGGGTGTCTCTAGCCCAGATACATCCCCTATAGTCCTCATTTGCCCCATTTCAGTGAGGTTGGCACTGACTCACTGATTTCCACCCCCTAGGTTAACCTGTGGTGCAATCAGAAGAGATCTCATCTGTGTGATTGGGTCTTAACTGGGGTGACCAGCCTGACCAGGGGAGGAGACAAATTCACCAGCTTCATCAACAGAAGGCCTGGATGATTTTGTTCTTTCCAAACTTAGCTAGCCTATTCCAGTGTACTCAAAGATGATCACAGTATTATTTTTAGGTGAAATCATTTGTGTCTGTGTCTAAAATTTGGCATCATCATAACCTGTTTGTCCAGTGTGTAACATTCCCCCACCTCTCATTCCTGTCCTAATGGTTACAAAAGACTCATTAATCCACTTGAAGGAGGTGGCTTGCAGATAAGAACTCACTGGTAACTGCTGGGTCATCATCTCATCTGAGTCATTATCATAATCGTAGTCCCAATAATCTATATTAGAGCAAAAATGAGAGCCAAAAATCTGCCTTTCTAAGAAGCTAATTTTGATGAGGAGCTGGCTGTCCATTACAATTTTTTTTAAAAAATCTATACTCCGCACAATGACCTACAAGTCTACATGACTTGGCCCTGTTCTATCCCTCCAGTCATGTCACCATTCATTCTCCTTGCTACTCATCATACTCTGCCACTACTTAAATATTTCAAACTCCTTCCCATCTCAGAACCTGTGTGCCAGCTATTCCCTTTGTCTAGAATTATCCGTGCATCACCCTTTGATCATCCCATATCTAGTCCTCATTCAGGTCTCAACACGGAACATAAGGGCTCAGCAGAAGCATAGGGGTTTCTTTTCCCAGTTTTTCCCACTCCTCCCAACAACTCTGTCCACTGTCATGCCTTATTTTTTATATAAAGTGTATGCATGGTGAGTATAGGCTCCATAAAGGTGGGAACACACCTGTCTTGACCATTACTATATCTCTCACACCAAGAATAGTATTGGCATATAGGAGGTCTTTATGAGCATTTATTTGTTGAATGAATAGAATCAATGAGCAAGGATCAGCCAAGTTTGAGATCTACTGCTTTATTCCAGTCCCTTTCCTTCCTTGAGTCCCAGTTGCCTCATCTATAAAATAGGAAAATTAGTATATGTGGCATGTAAAACTTTGGCAACCCACTGGGCCTCAAGGACACTTGGGGAACCAAAGGACTGCAGCCTCAACCATGACCCCAAACTAGACTATGATTTTCTGAGTAAGGTACCATCATTTATCCTGGTAAAGGCAAAATATTAATAAGTAGGCCTGTAGAAGAGACCTCCTTCCTTCACAAAGAAAGAATCAGGTTATGCTTTTTCCTTGGAAGAGGCTGGGTAATCCTGATAGCAATTGTTCTCCATAAAATCTTTTATATTGAATTTTGTTGCCTTGCTAATACTAAGGCATCTGCAAATGGATGGAGCAAATCAAGTTTCAGATGTATACCTGAGTTAGGCTTAAAAGGAAGATTTAATGAATCAGAAAATACTGGAATCTATTTTTTTTAACTTTTTAAAGCTGATTTATCCTTTTTCAATCTTCAGGTAAGTCCCCAGTATTCCATTAGTTCTTTCAAATGAATGTTCTGCTTAAAGTGGCATAGAAAATAGTGAGAAAGAAATAGTAAGAGGGAAATAAATTTTTTTCTACCTAATTAATGTACAGAACTTTAAAGTAACTTATATTCTTTGATCTAAGGCAGTTAGGGCTACATGTTGTTTTTGAATGAATACAGCTAAATTTCAGTAAGTAAATTCCATTATTCTTAACAATTGACTTTGAATATAGTAATAGGACTCCTGTAGGCTTACTCTAATTTCAATGGTGTATTTTAATTTGGGCTATAGAAAAGAAACTACAGTTTACAGGATTTTTTTAAAAATGAAGAATAAGTTGATACAGAATAGGCTGACTTAATTTGAACCTAATTTAAACAAACACAAATCAATAAATAATGTGAAGAGAAAACAGATATACAAAGAAAGAAGTCAATTTTTTATTGTCATGGTCCAAAGTATCCAAGATACCAGATGTAAATTGTAATAAATTGTTACACAAAATAATAAGTTAGAATTGATGGGCATCTGCTTACCACCCATCCAAGACCAACAGGCAGACCCAAGCCAAGCTGCTCAGCTTGAGTTCATCAGCAAGGACTCCCCCACCCAGCCTGCTGTGTGGGAGGAGGGGTTCTATGGTCTTCAAGAATAAATACCTAGTTCCTGCATTCTCTGAGAAAAGAGCAACAAGGAGACCCTGCAATCTCAGATATAGAAGTACTCTACCGCTTTATACTCTGTCGGCACCACCTCCATCCACACTGGGGCCATTAAGTTTGGGTATACCAGAACCAAACACCTGAAAACAGAAGATTCTCGAGAAATTCTTTCCTCATAACTCCCTTAGCAGTAAAAGGAGAGAAATTCCCCTCTGAAAATCTGAACCCCAAACTTCTACTATGAATTCCACATTCCCACTCATATTAGAGGAGGACAATTGACACAGAGCTTATCGATATCATGAGTACAGGAGCACAGAACTACAGAAACATACTCCAAGAAGTAGAAAGAAGTGAATATGCCACCAGATGACTAAAAATCAAAGCAGAGCCCCATGAAACAGGAGAAAATCAGGAAGGATCCCTTTGAAGGATCACAACTCCTCACCAACAATGAATAAAATATAGAGATCACAAAAATGTCAGAAAAATAATTCAGAATACTCATTGTAACAATACTTAATGAGATGCAAGAGTAAACAGAAAACCAATTCCAGGAAATAAGAAAAATCTTCCATGACTT